AAATAATCAATTTATTCAAAAAGCAAATATGCGTCATATCAAATTGGTTACAATTTAAAATTGACACCGGAAGTGACGCCACTTTGTCAATAATTATTTAATAAGAATATTAATTTAATATGCATTAAAAAAAATTAACTTTTAGTTTAAATCAACATATCAATAAAGATAGGTTGCCAGGCAACGAAACATACGCCCACAACAGCTAAATCGTCCGGGCAGTCAACAAGTGCTGTCGCATATTTTTACTTTTTTCGGTAATGAAACAATTATAATACACTAAAATCTGATTAAGAGTAACAACTCATGAAGTAATTATCAGAAAACCATTAGAATTTGTTGTTTTTTTTATAAAGTTCTGCCCCATGCTAACGCTTAGTATACAAAACTTTAAATATCATGGATTTAGCTGTTCAAGTCATAAAGATTTATTTGTTCGTATCAAGATCTTAAACATTGTGTATCAATCTGAAGTCAATCGGTTGATAACTTTAGCCTCTAGAGCCTCACAAGATTTTTCAAAGTGATCAAGGGCCATAACTTGGCAGTAATTATCGGAAAATGAATAGACTTCTTCGTCTCATGACCTTAAACACTGTGTATAAATTTAAAGTCAATCGGATATTAACTTTAGCCTCTACAGCGTCCACAAGATTTTTCAAAGTGACCAATGGCCATAACTCATGCAGTAATTATTGAAAATCACTGAAAATGAATAGACTTCTTCGTCTCATGACTTTAAACACTGTGTATAAATTTAAAGTCAATCGGATATTAACTTTAGCCTCTACAGCGCCCACAAGATTTTTCAAAGTGATCAAGGGTCATAACTCTGGCAGTAATTATCTTAAATTGCTGAAAATAATAGGCTTCTTCGTCTCATGACCTTAAGCACTGTGTAAAAATTTGAAGTCAATCGGATATTAACTTTGGCCTCTAGAGAGTCCACAAGATTTTTCAAAGTGATCAAGGGCCATAACTCTGGCAGTAATTATTGAAAATCACTGAAAATGAATAGACTTCTTCGTCTCATGACCTTAAACACTGTGTATAAATTTAAAGTCAATCGGATATTAACTTTAGCCTCTAGAGCGTCCACAAGATTTTTCAAAGTGATCAAGGGCCATAACTCTGGCAGTAATTATCTTAAATTGCTGAAAATTGATAGGCTTCTTCGTCTCATAACCTTAAGCACTGTGTATAAATTTGACGTCAATCGGATATTAACTTTGGCCTCTAGAGAGTCCACAAGATTTTTTGAAGTGATCAAGGGCCATAACACTGGCAGTAATTATCGCAAATCGCTGAAAATGAATAGACTTCTTCGTCTCATGACCTTAAACACTGTGTATAAATTTAAAGTCAATCGGATATTAACTTTAGCTTCTAGAGCGTCCACAAGAGTTTTTGAAGTGAACAAGGGCCATAACTCTGGCAGCAATTATCGAAAATCGCTGAAAATGAATAGACTTCTTCGTCTCATGACCTTAAACACTGTGTATAAATTTAAAGTCAATCGGATATTAACTTTGGCCTCTAGAGGGTCCACAAGATTTTTTGACGTGATCAAGGGTCGTAACTCTGGCAGTAATTATCGAAAGTCGCTGAAAATGAATACTTTTTCGTCTCATGACCTTAAACACTGCGTATAAATTTAAAGTCAATCGGATATTAACTTTAGCCTTTAGAGCGTCCACAAGATTTTTCAAAGTGACCAGTGGCCATAACTCTGGCAGTAATTATCTGAAATCGCTGAAAATCAATAGGCTTCTTCGTCTTATGCCCTTAAACACTGTGTATAAATTTAAAGTCAATCGGATATTAACTTTGGCCTCTAGAGCGTCCACAAGATTTTTTGAAGTGATCAAGGGCCATAACTCTGGCAGTAATTATCGAAAATCGCTGAAAATCAATAGGATTCTTCGCCTCATGAGCGTCCACAAGCAATTATTTATATCAGTCGTATTTGTTAATTGTTTAAAATTTTGATATTTGATTCCAGTCAAGTAATATAGATAACACAAATTGATTTCTAACTTGTTCAGTGGCGGAGAAATAGGAGATTTTCAACAGGTCACTTTTCTAGCTTTTTGGTCAATAAAAGTGTCAATTATTATTCGATTTCCATAAATTTTCACTGCGTGATACCTAATGCCATTTCCGATTTCATACAAGTAATTTAATTTTTTCAATCTGCAAATAGAATAAACCCATACGATCATACAGATACCACAAAATGGTTTCTAACTTGTACGGTTGCAGAGAAATAGACGATTTTCTGCAAGTCACTCTTTAATGTGTTTGGTCTATAAAAGTGTGAATTACTATTCGATTTTGTTGGAAATGTGCCATAATACATTATCTAATATTACTGAGTATTATAATCTCCATTTACTTAAATAGCTGAATTTTAATACATAGCATGCAATTATAATTTATATGCATATCCTATGACTTATTTAACGTAATTGAAATATACTTTTGTGTCCATCAGGTAAATAATGTTGAATTTATATTGTTGACAATGTATACTTTGTTTTCTTAAGGCGCGTATAGCTTATAATTTTGCATGAGCTGGGAATGAATTCTCAGAATTGGTGCCATCCTGTCGAGATGGCCAGGCGAACGTGTTATCCCCCACTAGTAGCCTGGGTTAGTTGTTCCCACTGGGATATTCGTCTACAGGGTCGAAGCGAAGCTCTACCTATTACACCTATAGTTCTTGAGAAATGCTCTTGGAGTGCACAGCCTTTAGATCCTTGCATCTAATGAACAGAGTTTAAACTGCTTGAATTTATGTATAGGATATTAACCTATCCGACATATACAACGCCATTTCACCCTTAAATTTAATGGGCTCTTCTATCAAAAGGCAACAATGATTTGATAATTGCTCGATAGTTTTCGCCAAATAGCGAAAATTACCGAGTAATCACGTGAATGTACGTGCATGTTTTTGTTTATACGTCGCCATTTTGAAAGCAAAAACAAAATGGATAGTAACATATTGACGATGGAATAGACGTGAATGCAAATATCGATGAGGATCTGTCCAAAGCCTGAAGAAAATTTGGTCAGAAAACAATCTTTTCCGATAATTCTGACATTGAACCGTGATTGAAGGTTTTCGGTATGTTCAGAAAAGGATTTGGCCGACTGTTTTAAGTGGACTGTACCCAAAAATACTTTACAAAGGAACTCTCGGGCGATAAATACTTTCAAGTCTTGGAGTGTGTGGATAAATAATCGAAATGTGGACAGAAAGAAAATTCTGAAAGATATCTTAGACATGGAGTATGCAGGAGTATGGATAACCGATTTAAATATGCCGCTAAGTACGCCGTCTATTTCGGTCCTGAATGCTACAAACTGTACCCTTACAATTTTTAATTGTCAAAAGAATTAAAATTTATTTCTGTGTTCTTTGTATTATTTCGATCATCTACGTCATCAGCGGTTGATATGAGCCGAATATATCGACCTGAGATGACGTCATTAGCGGCTGATATGAACTATCAACCTGTCATGTCGTCAGCAGCGGTTTATATGAACCGAATATATCAACCTATGATGACGTCATAACAGGTTATTATGTCATAAAACTTCTATGGACATCAAAGAAAAAACTATCGCCAGTTGTATATACACAGATACAGCCTTTAGATACTTGCATCTAATGAACAGACAGAGATTTTAAACGCTTTCGTTTAATGAACAGATACAGCCTTTAACTGTTTGCAGTTAATGAACAGTATAGCTTTTAGCTATTACACAGAAACAGAACAGATCACAGAACGGCTTGAACTGGGACAGTTCGCCTATTTTTAAATAGTGTAAAAGAGTTTTCCCAGTCCATTAAAACTTACCTGTATGTTATAATGCATAATAAAACTTCATAGTTTTATACAGTTTTGTTCCGTTTGTTCGAAGAGAGAGAGAGAGAGGAGAGAGGGAGAGAGAGCCGAACATGGCACAACTACTTTTTAGCTAGTCCGTCCTCTCTTCTGAAGAGGTTCTACTTTAAACAATTTGTGATCGGCCAATAGATCGCTGGTGGCAGAGAAATTACCGGAGTGTGGGCCCTGGGCAACAATTGCAGCAGAATTCCCCACACTACCAAACCGCTACACCATTTCGTGGCCAAAAACAGGGTAAAGTTCAAGGGTAACGTGGCACCTGTGAAACCCGTCATTACTGCATCGCAGTTCTAGTTCTATTTGATACCTATAGGTATTGGCAGCAAACCAATTTTACGTCTTGGTAATACATCTGTAGTCTTGAAAACAGGACATTATTTTAAACTTATAACTTGATAGTATATGGGAATTTTTAGAATCACATATCGAGCTTCAGTTCTTTCTTCGGTAGCATCAGTCTCGATTATCATATATGTCTTTGATAACAAGAGTTCCAACCGCTCTGATAACCAAGACTTTTGTTAAACATACGTATACCAGTAGTAGCGATACTGGGCAGATGCACCTATTTTTGGAAATGTATCAAATTACAATAATGTCGAACTAGCAAACCTGCAAGGTAGGCTACAACAAACGCCTACCCATGTTTTACAATTGTGGTATAATGGCTAGGAATCCCAAATTTATAACGTGCAAAAACAAGAGCTATTTCATCAAATTAGTAAATTGATTAAAATATATTCCTATAACTATATAAAACTGCTCACCATTGACAATATCGTGATTCTGAATTTGTCTACCAATTTAAAGATGTCAGTTCAACAAACATAAACAATCTACTCTTATATTTAATGATAAAAATTATTGTAAATTAAGAGATGATATTATTCATTGATATTATGTAGAAATCAGTAAAGTTTAATTGTGTTAATGGGTTATTTAAATGAATCAAAATTTACATTCCACAATTTTCTATCATTGGTGGCGATGAATACGAAACAAAGAAGTATAGAACTAGTCGTATTTGAATACAGATTGTGTTAGTTATAAATTTAAATTTCTTTAGATTGATTGGTTTCTTACCTTTGAGTACTTATATCAAACAACTAAGTTACCGCAATATCCTGCATCTAGAAGAACTTACTCAGCAGACGACAATTTCCTTAGAGCCAAGAAATGCAATCACGTGACATGCTCATGGCTATTTTAGAATGTACACGCGTGCCGTTATATTAATTATACTCTCTCCTGTAGAAATGGAATCGTCTTTCAGCACATTCCAAGTAATAATGAACGAAAACCTGTGTATGTCTGTATGATCATATATAATGTTTGTAAACATGTGTATATTAAAGTTACAATTTCATATTTTTAAGTTATATTTTTAAAATTTATTAAAATAAAGCCTTAAAATAGATAGTATCCATAAACAGTCCTACCCTGTTAAAGAATAATCCTATTAATCCTATAATTCACTATTGCCAGCTGAGAAATTGGCAAAAATATCATTTTTAGCTTCAAATTCAAACATTTGAACATAGCTTTTCCATGGAGGTAATAGGAAAACAAGGGAGATGATTGTGTTATTATTTCCTGTGTCAATGATTTTTAAGGGTGGGAAATAATGCTTATGATCGTATAATAGTGAGTTGATAACCTATTTAGCAAAAGACATAGAAATAATTATGTTTTGACTTTCTTAGAAAATATGAAATTATCGCTTTAAGAAGATTGCATTGAATACAGGATAATGTCAATGGTAAAATAATTTCCCAATTCAATTGTAAGGTGACCCGTGAAACGAAAATTTTCTCTACTGAAAGTTGAACTCGACACGGCGAATGTGCACGCTTCAGTGGCTTGTCTCGAAATGATTTCTGGTTAGTCACGCGGTACGATAACACTCGGCGCTAGAGTCTATGAGTCTATAAAAAGCCATCGCACGTGAATTCTCTACACATCTATCAACTATTACAGTCGTAAAAATCTATTATTGGCGATTCTGAATAGCAGTAATATTTAACTTTTTGGTTCGTTTTATGTTTTGAATTGCTTTATCATTAACTATACCGTTAGGAGCGGCATCTTTCGGTTTAGTACAAATAAACATCTCTGAAACACTCTGGTTAGGCAAGAACATGATATCTAGCATTAGTTACATTTTACTTTTACAAGGTTCTTAAAACAATTGTTGAGTTGATTAACGTGCGTGTTTCTAAATTTAATTTCTTGTTCCCACTTTCTGTTCAAATTCATTTAACGTTCTCGAAGTTTAGTATGGTGCATCCCGTAAAGCCCGTGGACGATACTGATCTCAGGCAGTCACCAACATTCTCGCAAGTTAGAAAGCTTGAAAGAAACATATTATGTGAAATATGCTGCATGTGCAATGTCCCATAATTAGTGGTGCGGTATTTGATGGGTCATTTTGTTTCCAAGGAGTGGGTTATTAAAGATACATTATGTAAGATTTAGATATAGAGCTGGCCGTTCTTGCTATAATAGTTCAAAAATAGATAATGCAAAATGAAGATATTGAAAATTTCATTCAAATTACTTTATTTGTAGTATTGACAATACGTGTGTATTGATTGTGTATTATCGTAACCACGATACTGGTATATTTGAGGCTTAGCCGCGCTTCCCCATTTTTAAATGAAATCATAAAATGGCCGAACCGTTCTAATCTAGTTAAAATTTCGAGAATCCGATGGCATCGAAAGTTGATTGTGGTGTCATGTTAATATTAATGTCTAATTAATAATTTACGTAACATTTAACGCCTAAAGAAAGACCTGTGTATCTAAACCCACAGGAAAGTGCTCTAAATTTCATCTACAGCGATGTAATTTTCAAAATTTTCCGGGGGTCGCTGGGGCCCTTTGGAACGAGTCGCCTCCGTTGGCCGATCCCTCAATCCAACCCTGTACTTAATTGACTTTTGCTCAAATAAGACATTCAACAATAAAAAGTCTCGATCTGTCCTATATATTCCTCGCTTTCGCTGATCTCTTCAGCTTGACACGTGTTCCCAAATCCATACCGGTATCCTTGCCAAAAAAAACCCCAAGGGCCGCCAGGCAGGATACGCCCACATTTTCCAAGAGATGGATAGAGAACAAGCTAAAAACAAACGCGATTTTTTGTACAGTCAAGGGCAATAATGCAGAAAGTTATGGCCTGAAATGTGCAAATATCAAAAGGGACTGAGATCTTTGGGATATAAAGATATGTTTTAAGTTTCATCAAATCGGATAAAAATTGTGACCTCTAGAGGGTTCCACAACCTTCGTATTACACATTTTACAAAATTTGCGTACAAAGAGCGGCCATTTTGTTCGGAAGTTTCATTTAGATTTTCCCGAAATTCGAATTCAACCTTCATTATGGTGGAATGGTGATGTATTTTAACGTTTTTTAAAATTGGAAAAAATTGTGACCTCTAGAGAACTAGGGGCCATAATCCAGGATGTTTGGGTATCCGCGATTATCAAAAGGAACCAAGATCTTAGTGTGTAATGGTGATATATTCACACGTTTTTTTAAACCGGATAAAAATTGTGACCTCTACAGGGACCACAAGCTAAAAACGTGATTTTTTCTTCAATCAAGGGCCATAATTCAGGAAGTTACGATCCGATATGCTCGAATACCGAAAGAAACCAATATCTTTGGGTTATAAACATGTATTTCAAGTTTCATCGAAATCGGATAAAAATTGTGACCTCTAAGAGGGTCCACAATCTTGATTTACCAGATGTTTACACTATTTTCGTACACGGGGCATCCAATTTGTCTAGCAGTTTTGGCCCGATTTTCACAAAATTTGAACTAAAAAAACATTACGGTGTAAAGTTCTGTGACATATTCGAACGTTGTTTTAAATCTGATAATAGTTGTGACCTCTAGAGGGACCACAAGCTAAAAACGCGATTTTTCGTACAATCAGGGGCCATAATTCAGGAAGTTACGATCCGATATGCGCGAATATTAAAAGGAACCGGGATCTTTGGGTTATAAACTTATATTTCAAGTTTCATCAAAATCAGAACAAAATTGTGGCCTCTTGGGGGTCCACAACTTTGATATACCATTCGATGTTTCCTAATTGGCGTACGAGGGGTGGCCATTTTGTCCGGCAGTTTTGGTCCGATTTTCATGAAATTCAAATTCAGAGAAAATCACGGTGTAGGCCTAACGGTGATATATTTTAACGTTTTTTTTTTTAAAAATCGGATAATAATTGTGATCTCTAGAGGGACCACATGCTAATAACGCGATTTTTCGTACAATCAGGGGCCATATTCAGGAAGTTACAATTCGATATGTACGAAAATGAAAACGAAAATGAAATGAAAATGACCTCCAGAGGGTCCACAACCCTGGTACACAATATTTTGACACTATTTTCGAACGAGGCTTAGCCCCCCCCCCCCAAAAAAAAAATCGAATTAGCCCCCCCCCCCCCCGAAAATTTAGCCAACAATAATGATTTCTTAGGAGCGTTCTTAGCCGGCCACATCCTCAGCCCCTCCAAAAAATTCCGTAGCCCCACCAAATTTTATGAGCTGGCTACGGGCCCGCTGTAGAGTGTTCACAAACAATTATGGATGAACGGACGGACGGACAGGGGTGACGACAATATAGGCTACCTCCACATGAAAATATGGACGTATAAAAATGTTGACAACAAAATAACCATAGAGGTGTATATATTGATAATTAGATGAAAAGGAATGATCAGAGATAGGTCTATTGTAAATTAATTTAAAGGATAATTTTTGAAGTCTCTCAAGTTTAGATATAGATGTAATTGAACAAGAGTCCCAAATAGTGGAGCAATAATTAATATGAGATTGAATATGAGCAAAATAGAACAATTTAAGTACTTCAGTAGGAAGCAACTGTTTTAATTTGCGTAGCCTAATTGAACATTTTTCTGCCGATGAAGCTTAGATAAATGACCAACATGAGGAGACCAAGTGAAATTTTCATCAAAAATGATGCCTAAAAGTTTAAAGTGGAGACATTTTCTAAAGGTGAATTATTTATGTGAATTTGAAATTTTGTTTTGAACACAAATTGGCAACCTATTCGGCTAGCGGCAGATTCGACCGATCAAGCTGGCAACCTTTTCGTTGGCAACCTATTCGGAATAAAGACCAGAATCGCCCAAACTTATCTATATTTATAAACCAATAAAATCCAACGTTACATGTATAAAATGAAAGTAGAATATATTAGACCGTACACTACTACAATATTAAACAATTCCATTAGCTCAGAATTCAGGTGTAATTTCGGATTATCGTATAGAATTCTTAGCATCTTACTACGTATGTTCTGAAAGGTAATAAAATAAGCTTTCCAAATATTATTTATAAAAGTTGGCACAATCATATTAAAATTGTGCACTCTCATCCTAAACGTCGCCAATTTTTCAAAATTTTAAAGTGAACGACAGGTAATATTCCCAGTCATAATTCGGATCATCATACAAAATTTTGATGTAAGCTTTCCAAATATTATTAGTAAACGTTGGCACAATCATATCAAAGAGGTGCGCGCTCATCCTAAACATAGCCAATTTTTAAGAATATTTTAAAAGGAAAGACCGTTAATATCCCGAGTAAAAATTCGATCCATCGTACAAAATTCTGATGATCCAACTAAATATATTCTGAAAGGTAATTAAATAAGCTTTCCAAATATTATTAGTAAGCGTTAGCACAATCATATTAAAGGGGTGCGCTCTCAACCCGAACACCGCCAATGTTTCAATATTCTAAAGGGAAAGACTGTAATATTCTGTGCCAAAATTCGGATCATCGTACAAAATTCTGGGCATCCAACTAAGAATATTCTGAAAGGTAGTTAAACAACCTTTCCAAAAATTATTAGTAAAAGTTGGCACAATCATATTAAAGGGGCGCGCACTGTCAATGTTTCAATATTCTAAAGGGAAAGACAGTTAATATTCCGTGTCGAAATTCGGACCATCGTACAAAATTCTGAGCATCCAACTATATATATTCTGAAAGGTAATTAAATAAGCTTTCTAAATATTATTAGTAAGAGTTGGCATAATCATATTAAAGGGGTGCGCTCTCAACCTGAACATAGCCAATTTTTCAATATTCTAAATGTAAAGAGAGACCTATATTTTTTTCGAAGTTCAAATTCGGATCATCGTTCAAAATTCTCAGCATTCAACTACATGTATATATATTCTAAAAGGTAATTCAGTAAGCGTCCCAAATATTATTAGTAAAAGTCGGCAAAATTATATTAAAGAGGTGCGCTCTCATCCCAAACATGGCCATTTTTTTAAAAAAAAAATTAAACGGGAAGTCTGTTAATATTCATAATTTGAAGCATCGTACAAAATTCGGAGCATCCAACAGAAAATATTTTGAAAAGTAATTAAACAAGCTTTCCAAAATTTATTAGTAAAAGAGAGACCTATTTTTTTCGAAGTTCAAATTCGAATCATCGTACAAAATTTTGAGCACTATATATATTCTAAAAGGTAACTCAGTAAGCGTCCCAAATATTATTAGTAAAATTCGCCACAATCATATTAAAGAGGCGCGCTCACATCTTAAACATGGCCATTTTTTTTTTTAAATTTAAAGGGAAAGTCTGTTAATATTCCGAGTCATAATTCGGAGCATCGTACAAAATTCGGAGCATCCAACTGAGAATATTCTGAAAAGTAATTAAACAAGCTTTCCAAAAATTATTAGTAAAAGTTGGCACAATCATATTTAAGGGGCGCGCTCTCAATCTGAACATAGCCAATTTTTAAGAATATTTTAAAGGGAAAGACTGTTAAAATCCTGAGTCAAAATTCGGACCATCGTACAAAATTTTGATGATCCAACTAAATATATTCTGGAAGGTAATTAAATAAGCTTTCCAAATATTATTAGTAAAAGTTGGCACAATCCTATTAAAGGGGAGCGCTCTCAACACGAACACTGCCAATGTTTCAATATTCTAAAGGGAAAGACAGTTAATTTTTCGTGTCAAAATTCGGATCATCGTACAAAATTCTGAGCATCCAACTAAGAATATTCTGAAAAGTAATTAAACAAGCTTTCCAGAAATTATTAGTAAAAGTTGGCACTATCATATTGAAGGTGCGCGCTCTAAGTACGAACACTACCAATGTTGCAATATTCTCGATCTTTCCCTTTAAAATGTTTTAAAAAATGGCCATGTTTAGGATGAGAGCGCACCTCTTTAATATGATTGTGCCAACTTTTACTACTAATATTTGGAAGTAGAATATAGTTGAATGCTCAAAATTTTGTACGTTGGTCCGAGTTTTGACTGGGAATATTACCGGTCTTGCACTTTAAAATACTGAAAAATTGGCGACGTTTATGATGAGAGTGCACCCCTTTAACATTATTGTTCCATCTTTTATAAATAATATTTGGAAAGCTTATTTTATTACCTTTCAGAACATATGAAGTAAGATGCTAAGAATTTTGTACGATAATCCGAAATTACACTTCAATTCTGAGCTAAAGGAATAGCTTAATATTGTATACATGTAACGTTGGATTTTATTGGTTGATAAATATAGATGAGTTTGGGCGATTCTGATCGTTATTCTGAATAGGTTTCCAACGAAAAGGTTGCCAGCTTGATCGGTCGAATCTGCCGCTAGGCGAATAGGTTGCCAATTTGTGTTCGGTGAAGAACGGGTTGATAGTTCATCGCTAATACAGCATTTTATATGTCGACTATACGTTGGTAATAAGTCATGCACAAGTCAACCGATCTGAAGGGCCTATAGTGAATTTTAACCAAAGAAGTTATAAATTCGTGGTTATGATGGTAGTGTCAGGCTGCCAGTGGTCATAGCCATAGCGTGTCTAAATTGCAGAGTATGGTAGTCAACAACACCAATTTAGTTCGAACATATTGATTATCATACCAACTGAAATAATGTCGATAAAAACAAAGGTACCAATATCTAGGAGATGTAATAAAAACTGGCATGAATTTTTCCACTTTCCGAATACTATTAATACTGAAGGGGTGTCTCGTGATGGAATTTTTAAAAATAGACAGAAAGCAGACGACGCATTTTCTGATATAGAATCAGAGCCATTTTCATTTGAACTTCAATCTGTCAAGAATGATGACGTAGATTTAAATTTATCTTCATCAGACCGGACAGAAACAACACCAACATGTCGGTCAACAAGGAAATATAACAGACCGATTTCAGCAACTGATAAAGTTGATGTAGCATTTGGAAAAGGAGAGGAGAAACTTCAAAGTGTTTCTGATTATTATGATACCTTTGAATATGACTTTAACTATTTCTTTTTATTTCTTGGAATCGTTTCTGTGATAGTATTTATTCTTGATATTGTAAGTGATGTTTATCTTGCCTTTAAATATTTTGAAGATGGACACCTTATATTTGGACTCACAACAACATTTTTGACAGCTGGCCCATCGTTTGTTATGTGTTGTTTAGGTATACACTGGTACATATTAGATTATAGATCAGAAAAAATTATTATACAAGAACATCAAAAGGCAAGAAACTGTTGTGAACCTGCTCATCAGACAACAACATGTTTATGGATTTTACGTTTTCTTTGTACAATTTTACAAATAGGGCCTCTGATAAGGTAAAATATTAAATTTTAATAATATTATGTGTTATTGATTTTATATATAATAGACTGTTCAGAGGTGGAGAGAATACTTGATTGAAGGTTCCAGAATTGAATTCTCTCAATCAATGGAGGGTTTAGTTGAGTAACACAACAATTTCAGGCAACACAGCATGTGCCAACAGAATATGATACTAACACAACCAATCAAGATACGGTATGTGAAAGATTTTTTAATCACAATTCCGTTTACATCCCATGTTTTCAGGACTGGCAGAACTGTGATGTAATAAATTTCATCTACATGTAGTTTTTCAAATTTCATCAATTCATATTTTTAATATCTATTTACAGAACAGTTGAATATTTATATTATGGATGCATGTCGATGAACAAGAAACTCTCAAGAGAGGAAAAAATTAGGTACCATCGATGGATGCTGTATGAAGATCTTGATGCTTGTCTTTTACGCCTGTTTGAAAGTTTTTTGGAGTCAGCTCCCCAATTAATTTTTCAACTGTATGCATGGGCAACTCTAAAACCTAGCGAAGATGTCGTAAGTTGTAAGTAGTAGTGCTCAAAACCAGTGGTCTGCCCTTGCATTAACTTCATGCACACATTGATCACATACTTGACAGTTTAATTCATATATTATTATATTATAGTAAGAACATTTCTAAGTGCTTATGAAATGTTTCTTCAAATCCTAATGATACAGCAAATTTTTTTATAAAAGCTGGGATACATTATATTACAAATAATACAGTTTGATAACATGACCCCTTACAACTTATAGTTTATAAGTAACTAAATGAAACATAAAGCTTTTTTGTATACTGTTATCTCTGATCCAATGTAGTCTTTGCTCTGATATTGACCCCTACAGTGAATCTTGTGGTAGACAATACTTCAATAGATGATCCTGGTCAGTGTAATGTATTACAGCTGCCCTGGTTAATTACATGACCAACCAGTCAACAAGGTCAATGAGGTGTAATATGGGAATGGTTAAATTAACTGGAAATGGGTGTATAATCCTGCTATAAATGGATAACACATGTTACTGTGAGTTTTATCACTTGGGAATATCAATCAATATATATGCCACATGTTAAAAGATGTGTCAGTTCTATAATAAATCTCACTTCATGGCATTATTATTAAATTGTCTAAATATGGAGAACTCTATAATAGAACCAGTATTGTCACCGTAATTAATAACCTTTGTCTTGATGCTGGTAATAGGGGTGTCAAGGTGTTGTTGACCAAGGAAAAGCACACCTCTAACCACAATATTTTGTCTGGGTAATCGATCTTTCCATTGGTAAAATCAGCAAAGGTATTTATTCATGTAATATTAAGGCATCTGTTATTATTTGTATCTTTCAGTATCAATAAGAATAACAGCACTACTGATGTCCTGGGCTAGTCTGAGTATTTCACTTGTATCTTATCATAAATCACTGCGATATTCCCGTAAAGAGAAGAAAAACTTGTCATTATTAGCAACACCTGTGTATTTTATATGGAGAGCATGTGAAGTTGGTGCGCGACTACTGTGCCTGTCCTTTTTTGTGACAGCATTTCAAGCATGGATATTTTTGCCAGTATTACTGCATTGGGTGGCAGTAACTATTTGGATAATTAAACAAAATACTAAATTCTATGACAATCGTTGTTTTGAAACAATATTTAATATTATATGTGGTTATGTTATGATTTTTTGTTTTTTAAATCTTCGAGAAGGGCATACACGTTTTCGTTACCTGTGGTTTTATATAGTGTTCTATTTTGAGAACTTTTTCATGCTTGGTATTTGGTGGCAAGCTATACCACTTGGTGATTGGTATGATTTCTATGGGTTTATTTTAATCTTTATTTTATCAGTTTTACATATTATTGTTCAGCTTATTTATTATAAATTTTCGCACCCAAGTAAAATAGATATATGCTTGCCATGGAATAGAAATCTCTGCTATGAATCTGTTTGTCATAGTTTAGATGAAGATGAAAAACAAATGAAAAAGCCACACCATTTAGATCAACAGGTTGTTGTTAATAATGGATAGAAAAAGCTTTGTACATGCAATGCAAGCAATAGCATAATATAGTGCTTTTAATGTTTTCAGAATTAAAAAAATAAGACACATTTTTATTTACTGATAGAGAATGTGCTTTTGATTTGATCTGATTTTTATACGCCCACATGGAAATGTGGTCATATATTGCCGTCGCCTCTGTCCGTACGTCCGTCGTCCACAATTTCTTGTGAACACTCTACAAACTACTTTTATCATCTGATTGTTTTGAAATTGATATATTATGTTGTTTACATTAGTGAGATGAAGAACCCTATTTAATATCAATAATTTTCGTTAATTTCTTCTGGAGTTATGGCCCTTGTTTCACTTTGTTGAACCTTGTGAACACTCTAAAAGTTATCATCTGATCTGTATGGAATTTGCATCATTTAAATTACTGACATGAAGAAGCCTATTAAATTTCAGCAATTTCCGTTAATTACGTCTAGAGTTATGGCCCTTGTTTCACTTTGTTGAACCATGTAAATGCTCCAGCGACAAAAGTTATCATCCGATCTGTATGGAATTTATATGCATCATTTAAATTAGTGAAACGAAAAAGCCTATTGAATTTCAGCAATTTCCTTTAATTACATCTAGAGTTATGGCCCTTGTTTCACTTTGTTGAACCTTGTGAAACGACAAAGCCTATTGAATTTCAATAATTTTCGTTAATTTCTTCTGGAGTTATGGCCCTTGTTTCACTTTGTTGAACCTTGTGAACGCTCTAACAAATAAAGTTATCATCCGATCTGTATGAAATTTATATGCATCGTTTAGATTAGTAAAACAAAGAATCATATTGAATTTCAACAATTTCCGTTAATTTCGTCTTAAGTTATGGCCCTTGTTTCACTTTTTTGCGCCTTGTAAATGCTCTAACAGCAATAGTTATCATCCGATCTGTATGAAATTTACACAGATCATTTAAATTAGTGACACCAAGACTCCTATTGAATTTCAGCAATTTCCAATAATTATGTCTAGAGTAATTGTCCTTGAACCTTGTGAACATTAGAAACACGAAACTTATCATCTGAACCGTACGAAATTTATATGCATCATTTAAATTCGTGAAATGAAGAATCCTATTGAATTTCAGCATTTTCAAATAATTACTTGTAGAGTTATGGCCCTTGTTGAACCTTGTGAATGCTCAAATGATGAAAGTTATTCAATCTGTATGAAATTTATATGCATTATTTAAATTAGCGTAGTGAAATCAAGAATCCTATTGAATTTCAACAATTTCAGTCGATTACTTCTAAATTTATAGCCCTTGTTTCAATCTGTATGAAATTTATATGCATTATTTAAATTAGCGTAGTGAAATCAAGAATCCTATTGAATTGAAGCAATTTCAGACAATTACTTCTAAATTTATAGCCATTGTTTTACTTTGTTGAACTAGAGAACGTTCAAATGGCAAAAGTTATAATCCAATCTGTATGAAATTAATATACATTATTTGAATTAGTAAAATGAAAAAGCCGGTCAAATTTCAACAATTTCTTCCAGAGTTAAGGCCCTTATTTCAGTTTGTAGAACTTGTGAACCCTCAAACGACGAAAGTTATAATCTGATCTGTATGGTTTTGTCTTGTAAATAAATGTCCCCAATTATCTTCAAAAGAATAAAGGTACGATAACCCTTGTCGACCGCTCAGACGATTTAGCTGCTGTGGGCGTATGTTTCGTTACCTGGCAACCTATCTTTTGTGATATAAACCAGAGCTTCTATGGTATTGGTGATCATACTTGTAGGTTTTGAAATACACTAGATTTCTACTGATCTTCAAAAGTAGAGAAATTGCCACATCTCTAAAAATACTCCCTCCAATATGGCATACATGTATATACTGACGGGAAATAACAGTTTCTGAAAACATAATGTCAAAACATAGCATAATAAATATTGGTCAAATTTCAACAATTTCTTCCAGAGTTAAGGCCCTTATTTCAGTTTGTAGAACTTGTGAACCCTCAAACGACGAAAGTTATAATCTGATCTGTATGGTTTTGTCTTGTAAATAAATGTCCCCAATTATCTTCAAAAGAATAAAGGTACGATAACCCTTGTCGACCGCTCAGACGATTTAGCTGCTGTGGGCGTATGTTTCGTTACCTGGCAACCTATCTTTTGTGATATAAACCAGAGCTTCTATGGTATTGGTGATCATACTTGTAGGTTTTGAAATACACTAGATTTCTACTGATCTTCAAAAGTAGAGAAATTGCCACATCTCTAAAAATACTCCCTCCAATATGGCATACATGTATATACTGACGGGAAATAACAGTTTCTGAAAACATAATGTCAAAACATAGCATAATAAATATTGTTTGTCTTCAGGTAATTAGAGCATTTTTGTGACAATAAATTCATTAAAGTATGACCATTCTCCCCTTTTCTTTGTATGTCCAGTTTATAATATGAATGACTAAGATTCTAGATAGTTCATTTTTAATCATTGCTGGAAAATTCAGGTCTGTGTTCAAAATGCCTTCATGTATAACAGCAAAAACCTTTCACATCGTCAATGTAATAATATTTTTCAAAGATATTTTTTTTTTAAATTGTAATGTGTTGGATGTCATGAATACACTCAAAATATGTTAATATTTTTAAACAACTTGAGTACATAATGTGGCCAGTTTTTATTACAGTATGTGTCATGTTGTAATGTTGTTAATATTATATTATTATGTTATTAATAATTACTGTAGAACTTTTAAGAGGTAGAAAAAAAAAACGATTTTTATACGCCCACATTGAAATGTGGTCGTATATTGTCGTCGCCCCCATCCGGCCGGCTTCCACAATTGCATGTGGACCCTCTTGAGGTTAATATCTGATTGACTTTAATTTTATACACAGTGTTTAAGGTCATGAGACGAAAAAAGTCTATTGATTTTCAGCGATTCCCTATAATTACTGCCAGAGTTGTGGCCTTGATCACTTCAAAACATTTTGTGGACGCTCTAGAGGCCAAAGTGAATATCCGATTGACTTTAAATTTATACACAGTGTTTAAGGTCATGAGACGAAGAAGCCTATTGATTTTCAACAATTTCTCATAATTACTGCCAGAGTTATGGTCCTTTATCACTTTGAAATATCTTGTTGACGCTCTAGAGGCCAAAGTTAAAATCGGATTGACTGGGGATTTATACACAGTGTTCATGAGACGAAAAAGCCTTATTGATTTTCAACGATATCCGATAATTACTGCCAGAGATATGGTCCTTGATCACTTTGAAATATCTTTTGAACGCTCTAGAGGCTAAAGTTAATATCTGATTGACTTTAAATATACAGTGTGTAAGATAATAAGACGAAGAATCCTATGGATTTCCAACGATTTCCGATAATTATTGCCAGAGTTATGGCCATTGATCACTTTGAAAAATGTTGTGGACGCTCTAGAGGCTCAAGTTAATCAGATTGACTTTAAATTTATAAACAGGCAAAGAAACCTATTGATTTTCAACGATTTTCCGATAATTACTGCCAGTGTTATGGCTCTTGATCATATTGTGGATGCTCTAAAGACAAAGATTATCATCTGATTGCCTTTAGATTAATACACAGAGTTTAAGGTCTTGGGACGAACAAGTATATTGATTTTCAATGATAACTTGAACAGCTAAATCCAGGATACACAGCTATTTAGTGCAGATGTTGGGAATCTGGCATAAATGTGACAGACTAACTCAGCGCCAGTGAACAAATTTTTGGATACAAGGCGCTATACAAATCCATTATTATTATTATATTAAATATTTTGTATGGGCAGAACTAGAAGCCAAAAAATGGTACTTTTTTAAAATGAAGGGAATACAAGAGGCATAGAAGGCTAGTCGTTGGGTTTGTTTTGCCAGATTTACAAACAAAATATTAACAAAAAAGTGGGTGTGACACCACCGCAGGGGGTCGGGGCATGCACAAAAATAAATAGTTGCTGTCTTTACGGTATAAGGAATAAATATGCTAAGTTCCAAGATGATCCATTCAGAATTGCAGTCCGTAGATGATAAATACAAAAATTGGGCGTGGCTCTGCCCCTGGGGGTTGGGTATGGAACAATATAAATAGGTACCACCCTGTTATTGAAATGATTAAGATGCTGAATTTGAACAAAGTCTGTTAATTATTGTAATTTGTAGAGTATTTACAGATAAAACTAACAAAAATGTGGGTGTGGTACCACACCCCTGGGGGTCAGGACATGTACCAAAATAAATAGTTGCTATCCTTACAGTATAAGGATAAAATATGCCAAGTTCTAAGATGATCCATTTTGAATTCCAGTCTGTAGACAAAAAAATACAAAAATTGGGCGTGGCTCTGCCCCTGGGGGTTGGACATGGACCAATATATATATATAGGTACAACCCTATGCTGGATCATTCCGACTTTGATCCAAATCTGTTAATAACTGCAACCTGTATATCATTTACAGACAAAATGGCAACAGAGAGTGGGTGTGGCACCGCCAATATCCGGCTCTGCAATCAACCTTCTCAGATCCTATTTATCTGATAGAAAACAATCTGTTTTTGTCAGTGGCAAATCATCTGAAGATGTTGGCCTTTTATACGGTGTCCCACAGGGCTCTGTTTTGGGTCCAATTCTGTTCAGCTTGTATACCTCGCCCTTGCGTAAAATAATTAAAAAGTATAATATCCAGTATCATCTTTATGCAGATGATACGCAGTTGTATATCTCGTTCAAACCAATTGTTAAAGATGGCTTTGTTTTAACTAAGTATATTTTAGAATCTTGTATCAATGAAATACGACAATGGATGTCAACCAATTTTTTAAAGCTGAACAATGATAAAACCGAGTATCTTTTAATTAGCTCACCAACAGTTCATGCAAAAATTTCAGATAACATTGATATTTCTATCGGGGCTGTTTCTGTGGAGCCAGTAAGTACCTTAATTACCTCCAGACTGGACAGTTGCAACTCCTTATTGATTGGCCTTCTGTGTCGCACTATTGAGAAACTCCAAAAAGTGCAGAATTCAGCAGCAAGACTGATCACACGCACGAAATATAATGAGCACATTACCCCAATTTTATTTGAACTGCACTGGTTGCCTATTGTTTTTAGAATTAAATATAAAATACTTTTATTGACTTTTAAATGTTTTAATGGTATGGCGCCCTTTTACTTGTCCTGTCTTTTGGATATTTATAAACCTTCTCGAACGTTACAGTCATCCAGAGACAACTTTTTATTAACGGAAAATAGAGTCAACCTTTCAAGTTATGGAGAGCGATCGTTTTCGTTTCAAGCACCAAAGCAGTGGAATTTCTTGCCTTTTAGTATCCGCAGTTGTACCTCTTTAACAACTTTTAAATCTAAACTTAAAACTTTCTTATTCCAAGAGGCTTTTTATTGTTGAATTAGTCTTAAATCTTCACCATATGTATTTTATAGATAATTATTTTTTGTACTGATTTTATAGATATTTAGTTTCTTATTGTTTCTATACTTATTATTTTTTTACTGATTTTCTATTTTCTATACATGTATTTATTGTAAAGCGCACCTGAACACGTATGTGGAAGATAGCACTATATAAGTGTTGTATAATAATAATAATAATAATAATAATAATAATAATAGATGTAATTAATGGAAATTTGCTGAAACTCAATAGGTTTGTTCGTTTTACTAATTTAAATGATACATATAAATTTCATACAGATCGGATGATAACTTAGAGCATTCACAAGGTACAACAAGGTGAAACAAGGGCCATAACTCACGGCGTAATGATGCATATAATTTCATACAGATTAGGTGATAACTTTTGTCATTCAAGCGTTCACAAGATTCAACAAAGTTAAACAAGGGCCATAACTCTAGATGTATTTAACGGAAATTTGCTGAAACTCAATAGGCTTGTTTGTTTTACTAATTTAAACGATACATATAAATTTCATACCGATCAGATAATAACTTTTGTCGTTAGAGCATTTACAAGGTACAACAAAATGAAACAAGGGCCATAACTCACGGCATTATTAACGGAAATTGCTGAAATTCAATAGGCTTCTTCGTTGCACTAATTCAAATGATGGATATCAATTTCAAACAGATCGGATGATAACTGTTGTCATTAGAGCGTTCACAAGATTCAACAAAGTGAAACAAGGGCCATAACTCTAGATGTAATTAACGGAAATTGATGAAATTCAATAGGCTTCTTTGTTTTACTAATTTAAATGCTGCATACAATTTTCATACAGATCGGATAATAACTTTTGTCGTTTGAGCATTTACAAGGTACAACAAAGTGAAACAAGGGCCATAACTTACACGTAACTTACGGAAATTGCTGAAATTCAATAGGCTTCTTCGTTTCACTAATTTAAATGATGCATATCAATTTCAAACAGATCGGATGATAACTGTTGTCATTGAGCGTTCACAAGATTCAACAAAGTGAAACAAGGGCCATAACTCTAGATGTAATTAACGGAAATTGCTGAAATTCAATAGGCTTCTTTGCTTTACTTAATTTAAATGATGCATATAAATTTCATACAGATCGGATAATAACTTTTGTCGTTAGAGCATTCACAAGGTGCAACAAAGTGAAACAAGGGCCATAAATCCAGAAGAAATTAACATAAGTTATTGAAATTAAATAGGCTTCTTCATCTCACTAATGCAAACAACATATATCAATTTCAAAACAATGCTATGATAAATGTAGTCTGTAGAGTGTTCACAAGAAATTTTGGACGATTGATGGACGGACAGACGGAGGCAACGGCAAAATACGACCACATTTCCATGTGGGCGTATAATAAAAATGGTAGTGGCTCTGTACCAGGGGGACGGGCATGCACTAAAAATAGTATGAAAAGGTTTCAAGATAACCTATTAAGAATTGCAGCCTGTAAGCGACACACAAAAAGAAAATGGGCGTGGCTCTGACCCTGGGGGGTGGGCATGCACCACAAACAATGCGGATGTTTCTTAGTGTAAAAGGAATAAGTATGCAAAGTTTCAAGATGATATGTTAAGACATGCGGCCTGTAAATGGCAAACAAATACAAGAAATGGGCGTGGCTCTGCCACTGGGGGTCGGGCATGCATTCAAAACAATAGGGATCATCCTTAGGGTATAAGGTATAATTATGAACATTTTTCAAGACGATCAATGAAGAATTGTGACTTGTAGGCGACACGCAGATACAGAAAAAGAAAATGGGCTCGGCTCTATCCCTAGGTGTTGGGCATGCACCACAAACAATAGGGATGTTCCTTTTGGGTATAAAGAATAAGTATGCAAAGTTTCAAGATGATATGTGAAGAAATGCAGCCGTTAGACGACAAACAATGGGCGTGGCTCTGCCCCTGGGAGTCGGGCATACACTAAAAACAATAGGGATCATCCTTAGGGTAAAGTTTCAAGATGATCATATACACAGATAGGGGTGACGGTAATATACGAAGAAAGCAGGAGACTATTAAGATGGGTTCATCCGTCTGTCTATCCGTCACACATTTTGGTACACAAAGAAGTCTATTGATTTTCATCGATTTCCGATAATTACGACCAGAGTTATGGTCCTCGATCACCTCAAAAAATCTTGTGGACGCTCTAGAAATTTATACACAGTGTTTAACGTCAGGAGACGAAAAAGCCTATTGATTTTCAACGATTTCCGATAATTACTGCCAGAGTTATATGGTCCTCGATCACTTCAAAAAATCTTGTGGATGCTCTAGAAGCTAAAGTTTATATCCGATTGACTTTAAAGTTCTACACAGTGTTTAAGGTCATGAAAAACCTTTCCACCGCGGAGAAAATGTTTACACCGCAGAGAAAATGTTTACACCACAGAGAAAATGTTTACACCGCGGAGAAATTATTTACACCGCGGAGAAAATTTTTCCACCGCGGATAAAATATTTACACCGCAGAGAAAATGTTTCCACCGCGGAGAAAATATTTACATCGGGGTGGAAAGGTTTTCCACCGCGGATAAAATATTTACACCGCAGAGAAAATGTTTCCACCGCGGAGAAAATATTTACATCGGGGTGGAAAGGTTTTTCATGTTTTTTTTATTTATCACTGCTTTCATTTCTCATATGAAGTAAATTTCAAGAAAAAGGTATAAATCAGTGTATGGCACTAACAGGCCACCGTACATATGACTTGTAAAATCTGACTATCAATGTTTACATACAAAAAGGGGGAGTAGCTACCATTAGCCATCAGGGCAGGAATACTAACGTATTTGTAGGCGGTAATTAAGAAGCACAACCACGCCTTGACATGATCGGTGAAGGACGCTTTCTGCGTGGAGTTATTCTGCACACGGTCATTCGGCACACTGATCAGAAGTGAATATTCGCTAGGCCTTTTACAATCACTGATAAGGAGCCCTAAATATATTTTTTTTTCCTCCGACAAATTAAATTCTAAAACATTTTTTTAAGTATTAGAAAAATAAATATGTTTGAAGAATATGCAGGTAAAACTTATTTCCTATTTAGTGTAAATGGGTATGTAAAACGAGTAAAAGGCGCCATTCTGCCCGTACCAGAACGTCTTATGTTTACAATACACGCGCCATTGAGCCAATGATTGACGCCCCGTGATGTGACGTCACAGGTTAAAAGCAGTCCTCTTTTACAGAAGACTTTTTTTTTTTTTCACTCCAGTTGTTAATTAGCGTTCGCCCTGTTAACACTTTGAGCTCCAGTGATCCAGTATCCCAGTTATCCAGTCTTATAGTGCTCCAGTTATCCAGTGTTCCAGACTCTAGTTTTCCAGTATCCTATTTACCAGTTTTCCAGTATTCTATTCTCCAGTTCAGCAGTATTCTATTCACCAGTACTCCATTCACGATGAACCCCATAATCAAAACCTACGAAGTCCCCGAAGATGAGACCAGCAGGGTGTCCTACCACGTGGCGGTCAGTAGCACAGAGAGATTGACCGACAGGTCTATCTTGAAGTGCCTGATCGACCTGCTCGGCAAGTGGGACGATATATATTAACAATATATCAGGTTAAAGAAGAATGGCATGTCCACGTGAAGACGAAAGAGGTCAAAGCCACACTACTAGAAAAAGAAAGCCACACCTACATGGGGATAGAATACAGATTCTTCAGACGATTCTCGAAAGTAGTATATGACTTTCCAGTCTCTTACTCAGACGACTATTTCCATAATATTATGACCGATATTGGGTACGTCAGATCCTTCAAAGACCAAAGACTGACGGGCACTAGAGTTTACAAGAGAGTAAGAGAGGTGGAAATAGAAATCAAGACGGAGGAAATGAAAAATATTCCACAGATAATAGTTCTGAAGACCCCTCACGGAGATGCCAGAGTCCGAGTCGTAACACCAGGCCAAGCTTCTCCATGCTTCCGATGCGAGAAGTTGGGCCACTCACGCAAGGAGTGCCCACTTCGAGGCCCAGAAAGGGAAAAGAACAAACGGCCAGCACAACACCCAGTTCCAGAAGCAACAAAGCCAGTCGAGGACAGTAAAACAGTGATCGAAACAGTAACCCAGTCTCCGCCAATAGAACCAAATAAGGCACCGAAACGAAGGAGAGAAGAGGGAGGTAGAACAGCAGCAAAAGAAACAAGGCCACCTGCAATAAAAATAAATGAGAGCAGCTTTAACATCCAAGAATGCAGCTACCATCCCTCAACCTCAACACCTCTTGAGATCAGCTTCGATCCGAACATTGACAGTTTTATTGCTATCGACTAAAAAAAAAAAAAATCCTTAATCAAACATATAACACGTGATTGTCTGCGATATCACCTCGGTGGAAGCGGACGTAAAATACAACAAACTACTACTACAGAAGACTTTTCGCAATACCTCTGTGAAACAGATTAGTCCTTCTGAGCTAAAGCCAATCTCGATACCAGAGATAACTTTACCCTTCGTTTATCTCTAGCTAAACTCGCAGGCCATTAATCGGCGTGAAATCGGTTCCTTAGCTCCGCCCCCAGTGGCACCGATTGGCAGTATTTGTTAGAATGAAATGCTGCCGATTTCAAAATGACCGGCGAGTTTTACCAAAGATAAACGAAGGATAAACTTATCCCTGGGATCGAGATTGAGCTAAAGCGTTAACTCTAATTGCGCTGAAATAAAACTGATAATTTAACAAATATATATATTTATTTGAGCTAAAAATTAACTCCGTCAATGCTAGTCACCATGGCTCCTCTGAAGAAAACAACTATTGTGTAGGCGAATTTTATGTGTTACACTGTTAGTAGTGTTAGACCTGGAGATGAGATGGAGTTAAGGTTTAACGTTCTACTTTTCACTCAGCACGGTTGGGTTTATAAAAACGGGCATATCCCTTACAAGAAAATACCATGGTATCACAGTAAAAACCATGTTTTGTAGAAGAAAAACAACAGTTTTTATAGAAAAACAACAGTTTTTATTGAAAAATCACGGTGTTAGGAGATACACCATGGTTGTGGTTGGAGAAAAACATTGGTTGAAACTGGTAAGGCAATCCAAAACCAAGGTTTTCATTTGAAAATGGTGGTTTTCCCATAAAAACCATGGTTGGAGTTTGAAAATTCGAAACCACGGTACTGGAACTGGTGGTTTTCAAATATAAACCATGGTTCAGAATGTAGAAACAACGGTTTGAAAGAAAAATGAAGGTTTTCATTTACAAACCAGGGTTTACTATTTGTAAATTGTACATCATGGTTTGGAATTTGGATACCATGGTTTTCCATGCAGACCATGGCTCACACTTTATTTATATACCATGGTTTAGACATTTTAAAAAATGGTCTAAAAAAAAAACAAAAAAAAAAAAAAAAACAGAAATGGATTACGAAGATGGTTAACACGAATTTTACCCGGATTTACACTACCATTTTCATTATTTCCCTTTATATTTCCAAGGTGAAGGCTGACAGCTGTCAATCATTCTGCTCTGGTGGCTAAAATCCTCGTCGTATTTGCGCTCAGGTTGTTGTTACACAATTTTAATTTGATATTGAGAATCTGCTGAGTAATGTCTGTACTCTGTTTTAATAGTTTTACTTACAAATGGTATGTATTTTAAATTCTTAATTTTCACTATTACTCAAATTACTGTACATTTCGTTATTCTAGGGAATTGAAAAGAAGAATACCGTATATTATATACTATATAGGCTAGGTATCGGAAATACAAATAAAATAAATAAAAATAAAGGTAAAGGCTGCACAACACAATAAAGTGCAGGGGGACTCTACCACACAAAATTTACACAAAAACAAATACAGGACAAGACATGGGTAGACTAAGCTACTGTTATCACCGGAATTCACTTAGACCTCGACAATTTTATTTACTTATGTTATATCACTAATATTAATAATAGAATGTACCTGTCTGTTACAAGATTTAATACAATTTTGAAAAAAATCACCACATCAGAATTTACTTAACCCTTATATTTAATTAAAACGCACCCTTTGAATACTTTGATGTTGGGGTACCATTATTTCAAATAATCCTACAGGCAACTTGCCAATCAGTAGGCCTACATTATTTATACTAGTGAAATATTGGACTTGCGTGACGTTTTTCACTGTAAAAGCACGTGTGGAGTGTCTTTATTTTAAGTCGTTTAATGGTCTCGAGCTTAAGATATTGCTAATATATTGTAAAAACACTCGGACATAGGGCCCTCTTGTTGTTACAATATATTAGGCCCCCTACTTAATGTCTTGCTCCAACCATTACACAATACATATTTACAAGTCAAGAAACTCGATCTTGGTCTCAACTGTTTAATTAAATCTAGTCTTGAGAGTACATGTATTTTAAACGATATTTCAAGATTGTCAACTCGAGTTTACGGGAAATACATCATGATCCAAATGCAGCAATTTCCATGTTAAATTGACTGGAATTCACTTATAAACATTGGAATTCACGTTGAAAAAAAGGCGGAATTCGTCCCAAAGACAATGGTATTTACTTTTATTTTGCATTAATATTAATAACAGTTGCAAGAAATAAATACAAATAAAAAAAATTAGTTAAAAACATCGGAATTCACTTAAAACACTTATATTTACAAGTCAAGAACTTAATAACATACATATTATGCAAAAGCTATATCTGCCTATTGCAGGTCTTTCTTTAGGCCTGAAATGTTACAGATATCTACGTTATTAATTAGACATTAATTAATCAACTTATCCAGATAATCAACTTATCCAGACAATAATCAACTCTGGATGTCATCGCTAGTCTACGATATTTAATGGATTTGAATCCGATCTGCTGCTCAACTCTAATTAAAGATACATTATGGGAGATAAGATAAAGAGATGGCAGTTCTCGCTATAATAGTTAAAAACTAGATAGTGTTAAGTTAATTTGCTGAAAATTTCAGTCAAATTGATCCACTATGAGCCGAGAAAGAAGCGGGTGAAATTTTTGCATAGTCTCGGTCATCATTACTAAAATCATTAATATAAACAGCATAGTCTCGATTATCCACTTTTTTTGATTTAATTATCAATGGCCGTTAGCGGCATATAGGTATCTAATCCAGCCAACATCGAAGGCTAGCCTTGACATCGAGAGTTTATATGGTCTGGATAAGTTAATTAATGTCTAATTGATAGTTTAGATAACATTTCAGGCCTAAAGAAAGACTTGTAATAAGCAGATTTTGCTTTTCCATAATGTTTAAATCCAGAAATGGATAATCAAGAATGTGTTTTTTTTATCATACCGACTTTAGTAATGATGATCAAGGCTAGGCCTAAAATTCAGTCGCTAAATTCTTGGTTCAGAGTAGATCAATTTGACTGAAATTTTCAGCAAATCCCCATTACATTATCTAGTTTTTAACTATTATACTGATAACTGCCAGCTCTTTATCTAATTTCCCATAATGCCCCTTTAATCGAGGTCTCAACTTTTTAAGTAGGTTTCCTGAGAGTGGGACAACGATTGTAGCCCCTTTGGAGGGCCCACAAAATTCATACATATATTTCACATTTTTCGTAAAAAGCAGCCTGGGCTATATCTCTAGTTGTTAGTGGTGCGAGGTGGAGGGCCTGACAAGCGTCTAGTCCTTTGGATGGGATGAAAAACCGAGGCGTGCACGTGGAATTGGTCATAGCGCCGCTATCCGGGCACAATTTCCCATATAGCATGCTTCATTAAATATGTTGGTGAAGAAAAGTAGGACGTTAACCCCCATGTTATGGACACCTTGATGTACTATAAGAATCTTACATTTTCCATGTGGCAAAGCAGAGTTGAAACTCATATTTTAAAAGGAATATGGGAGGCTTATTTAAACCATATTTATTTGCCACAGCTTTCCTGAATTCATTACTGATACTGATTTAAGGATTTTTTCGTGCCAAAAAAAAGTAGTTTCAATAATGATGGTTTATTCTAATTGGACAGTGGTTCTGCAATGGTTAATCACCCATTCCATGGAAACAAAACTGATGAAGTGAAAACAAATGCTGAATTAAAACATTTGGAGAATTTTTTTAAAGAAATTGCTGGAATTTTAATTGTTGTTAGCCTACAATGTCTAAATAGGAATATAACCAAATTTTCTGGGTAATTACTTTAAAGTGGCGTTTACATGATACAACCAATCCATACAACCGTCAGATGCAACGCTCGCATCCGACCATCTCATCAGACAAATGGTTGGATGGACAGCTTTTTTTATGGATAGGACCATATTCTCATCCGACAGCCTGATGCACTAGCCAATCAAATTGCGTTATTATAGTTAACGTCATATGACGTCATATCTGACTTTGCAAACCAAATTCCTGATTAAAGATGTTTTTACTGTCGCTTCGAATACTTTGAGGTCCTCTAAAATAGATCTAAACCCATCCGTGACTGAATTAGAATATCTAATAACTCTGTAAAGGAAGCATGGGCTTTTTGGAAGCCGTGGCACCAAAACTACACGAAGACAGGGATGAGAACTGTCGCCTTATGGCCATTCTATTCAATTACTAAAAAGGAACAAATGTTGCCACACAATGAATAGAACCATTGTATGGTGTAAACAGTCATCCAATATGTTGCATCCGACGGTTGTATGGATTGGTTGTCTCATGTAAACGCCGCTTAAGGCTGAAATCAATAGTAAAATATCCCAAGGACGGCAAATTCAGCATTGAGGCAGCATGAGGCTTTAATCTATAGTTAACCTAATTTAAAAATTATGGTAGTTTCCTTAAATTGTGTTGAATTCCTAAAAGCATAGGATCGCCAAAACGTATGAGAATGCTCTTAAGAGGAACCTTTTGATGTTACACAAAGCCCTTTAAAATTATTTAAACATTTAATCCAACATATTTAGAGGTACAAGCCACATGGACCGAAAACAGAACAACATTACCCAGAGTCCAATGACAAGAAATCTGGTATTTTGAAAAAGTAAGCATACCCTGCCATTTGGCTGGACTCCTGGAGTAATGCCTGGCTAAACTCATGATGGACCTTTAGAAAATGGATATGGTATTAGCCTAATTAATTTAAGGATAGTCAATAATAACAAGTTGATGGAAAAGGAAATAATTAGACATTTTGAGATTCTGTGACAATAAATTAGATATTTATAATTCTGTTATTTGTTAGGCCATTTGGTTCAGTGTTTACTTGTCCTAGTTTTTGATACCTGGCTTCATGGCTGACTAAATATTGCTACAGATCACGTGTAACAGTACTGCTACAATGGATATGTATTATATAAAACTTGTAAATGAATGGTATATTATAAAACTACTCAATGTCATTGAGCTATAAATACTGATCTTCATTATATGGTGACCATGCAAGGGATCTACATGTGTATTACCTAGGGACATTTAACTTAGATTTTTTATTGATAAAACCCATGTATGGAGAAATAAGTAAGAATATTTGTTTTTGGGGTGACACTCTTCGAAAAAGCTCTATTCAAGTCTGATCAACATAAAAATTGGCATGCTTGTTCTTTAAACAATCTGCATCGATTTGGTGAATTAGATTTTCACATTCAACAACATGGTCAGTTCCTAGTAGATATTTTTTTTTTTTTTTTCTTGGGGTATTTGAATATTTTTTTAGGAGATCGTGTTGGATCTTCCCTTGAATTTGTGGAAAGACAATCTAATGAAAATAGATTTTATTTTTATAGCATGTATCTGATTGGTCACTTCATTAACATCTAAAAGCACAAGAAATAAGCTATGTACTGTATCTTGGTAAAAAAAAATAAATATCAACTTGTGGTAGGTTTAAAGATATAGGTACCATATATTATGATCATGTTCTCAATATCATATCATATTCTCAGACAGTTGATAATGTCAATTATCAGTACACATGCCAGAATATAAATAAGATACTATTATTAGTACTATATTATGTTCCTGAAGCAAGACTGCAAGTTTTACAACATCTAGCCATTGCTAGATTAGTCATAAATTCCCAAACCTATGGGTACATTATTTCCCTTTACCACATAAATGTGAACAATAGCATTGTCCAATCAGAGGCTGTGACACAAACACAGTCAAATCAAACATGGTGACCTCCACGGAAACTTTTTCTATCGAGTAATCTGAAAGGCCCCCAGTTGGGTCAGTAACCAATCAAAATTAGTGAGGAAATATGCAGGGTATTACATGGGGGCTTGATAAGATGTATGGAGTTAAAGCGAGATCAACCTTCTATTGAAGATGGGGGGGGGGGGGGTGTTGGATGGCTGAATGCTTAGCATGCGCGCTGTATCATACAGTCTGTCATTGAGTCAACTGGTGGGGTTTCGATTCCCTGGTTGTACGTGACAAGGAGTAGGGGCGCCTGTCCAACCTCGTGGGTTTTTTCTGGGTCCTCCGGTTTCCTCCCACTGCTAAAGACCCCTACGCGCAAGCTAATTATTGAAATAAAAATGAACCGTTTGTTAGTCCCAAAATGTCCTAGTTTGTGTCTAATGGATGTTAAACCCCATTTCTATCTCTCTCTCTATCTCTCTATCTATTGAAGATGATACTATATAGACCAGGATACAAGCACGACTTCATTGCCACTATTTTGGAATTGTCATGTCAAATCAAACATCAAAGTCTTTCCAAGAAACATGCTGGCAGTTTCATATCGATCATACTTTATTAGTGGAGCCTTACCCTTTCTTCGAAGAGCATCGCCCCCAAGAAGAAAAATAAGATGAATAGTGTTTGAGGACCAGTTCCTGGTTCAAAAATTAATCAGAAATTTGCACCAATATTATGTGCATATATGTATAGGGACTTACTAAAAGATAGGCCTGTCATTTTCATTCAGAATTATAAAGGTGTGACAAACGTGTGTCCTGTTTCTTTAACATCATAAATTGTGCATTGTCATTATATCTTACAGTAAGTACTTGTAGTCTATTACTACGGGTAATATGCTTAAATCAAAATGTTACTTAAGTTATACAGCTATTATATTACTTGTCCATAAAGAAATTGCTAAGTCACTACCTCAGGTATTATGTCACAAATCAACAGACCTATTTGATATGTATACAGTAATCCAGTAAGTGTATTACAACATTAACATACTATGGATTATAATGCTTGCACAAAGGAATCCATTCCAAATATTACATCTTCGGGCATAAATATGAAATCCATAAAATGGCTGTATTAGTATTACATTTGTAATACTAATAGTGATAGCTGGTACTCAACTGAAAAGAATAATTTGACTGTGCTATTCCTAGTCTGATTCATTTAAAAGAACACATTATTAAAATATTATCAACCAATATTTTAGAATGGAAGACGAATCTAAAATAAGTGCAGGAAAAACGTTTGTCACAAGAAAGTTATTAAGTACATCTTGTAACATGTTACGCCAATAGGGAAATGTCACTAAGCTTAGGCTTAACCTAATATACCCTTGAATGTTAACAACTAATTTTATAGAAAATCGTGCAAAAATTAAAGATTTGATTTGTGATAAAAATTTAATGAAATAAAATGTATTCATTGTCAGATATGAAGCAAATATCTGTCCATCCTCGTTAACTGTTAACATCAATTAAATCATTAACACAAGGTACAATTTTATCGATACACAATTACCGAGTTTAATACTAAGCGAAGTTTTTATGTATCCATAAAATTGTACCTTGTGTAAATATGTGACCCGGACTTTGAACTTGAATATCTCGACGATGGAGTAAGGTAGAGCAATGATTTTGGTATCACTAGACAGCTTATGACATTATCTTTAAGATGGTGTATTTTTGTGACAACGTTAAATAGGAACATTCCCGAAAGCATGATTTTATTGAAATTACGTGTGTTATGTTGAAATCTAATGTTCTTAACAATCGTGTCAAGTTTAGTGGCAGTTTGGCGTTTTTAACCGTGACTTTTGTCATGAATAATAGAAATTTTTAACATAATCTTTAAACAACTTGAATATCTCGACGATGGAGTAAGGTAGAGCAATAATTTGGTATCATTAGACAGCTTATGACATTGTCTTTAAGATGGCATATTTTTGTGACAACGTTAAAGGGACAATAACACTCTTGCTGGCTTGACAGCTCCAGAAAATAAAAAATAGCCTTATTCTAAGTACTAGATGTGTTAGTGTCTTACCTGTTGTGTAAATTATCCATTAAATCCTATTTTACTTGTCCAGAGGGTTCAAAAATATTTTTAAATCCATGTCACATTTGAAAAGCTTTACGTCAGGCTTTTCAAATCATTTAGTTGAATTTTTCAAATTAGGTGTGTTATGCTGAAATTTGTATCGTCAATTAATTGGAATATTGTAAAATAGTACAATTTGTTGACCAGAATAAAGATTGGGACATATTATTCAGTTACAACAAGAGTGGTATTGAGCCTTTAAATAGGAACATTCCCGAAAGCAAGATTTTATTGAAATTACGTGTGTTATGTTGAAATCTAATGTTCTTAACAATTTTTGGAGAGAGAGAGAGAGAAATGGGGTTTAACGTCCTCTCGACACAAACTAGGGCATTTCGGGACTAACATATGGTTTAATTTTATTTCATAATTTGCTTGCGTGTAGGGGTCTTTAGCAGTGGGAGGAAACCTGAGGACCCGGAGAAAACCCACGAGGTTGGACAGGCAACCCTACTCCCGGGGATTCGAAACCACGCCAGTTGACTTAATGACAGGCCTTATGATACAGCGCGCACACGTGCTAACCATTCAGACACCCAACCCCCCAACAGTTTTTGGTCATTAAGACTCATTTTGCTGTCACCAGTAACATATGTTCAATTACTAAATGCCAATCAAAGAAGATGAATTAAATCATTGTTGTAAATTATTTTTATACTCCCACATTTTCATGTGGACGTATATTGTCTTCGGCCCTGTCCTTCCTGACGTCTGTCCACAATTTGTTTGTGGACACTCTACAGGTCACAATTCTTATCCGATTTTGACGCAACTTGAAATATAGGTTTATCTCCAAAAGATCGAATCGGATCGAAACTTCGTGGATTATGGCCCCTGTTTGTACGAAAAATCACGTTTTTAGCTTGTAGACCCTATACAGGGCACAATTTTTATCCAATTTTGTTGAAACTTGAAATATAAGTTTATAACCCAAAGATCTTGGATCCTGTCAATATTCGCACATATAGGACCGTAACTTCCTGAATTATGGCCCCCGATTGTACCAAAAATCACGTTTTTAGCTTGCGGACCCTATAGAGGTCATAATTTTTATCTGATTTAAAAAAATGTTTGAATATATCACCATTACACCATTATGTTGACTGAGTTCGAATTTCGTGGAAATCGGACAAAAACTGCTGGACAAAATGGCCGCCTCTTGCACACAAATAGTGTAATATATGGTATATCTAGAGGCCACAATTTTGATCCAATTTTGATGAAACTTGAAATACATATTTATAACCCAAAGATCTTGGTTCCTTTCGATATACGTGCATATTGGATTGTAACTTCCTGAATTATGGCCCTTGATTGTACGAAAAGACGCATTTCTAGGGTGTGATCCCTCTAGATGTCACAATTTTTATCCGATTTAAAAAAACGTTTGAATATATCACGGTTACACCTTTATGATGGTTTGAGTCCGAATTTCGTACAAATCGGACCAAAACTGCCGGACAAAATGGCTGCACCTCGTACGCAAATATTGTAAATATATGGTATATCAAGGACACAATTTTGATCCGATTTTGATGCAACCTGAAATACATGTTTATAACCCAAAGATCTTGGTTACTTTCAATATTCATGCATATCGGATCGTAACTTCCTGAATTATGGCCCTTGATTGTACGAAAAATCACTTCTTTTTTTGAGCTTGTTCTCTGTCCATCTCTTGCAAAATGTGGTCGTATCTTGCATGGCAACCGCTTGTTCAATCTTACGTAAAATGTTAAGAATTTTTTAGCTTCTGATCAGTGCTATTATCCAACTGTAGATACATGTAAGAAATTAAAACTTGCCACTTGTAAGTTTTAACTTCCAGCTTACTAAAAAAAAAAAAATGGACAATTTTTTTTTTTTACCTGTACAGTACATATTTATTCCCTGTTGGGAAAGATTGTTTGTGAACATTGTTCTATTGAATTTAATTTATTCTATTTTCCTTTTAGAACTACAGGAAGATCACAAGCTAACAAATTATGGCTTTCTGGAAACAGTTAGGCTTACTGCTGTGGAAGAATTTTACTTTAAGAATAAGACAACCGGTAAAAAAAAAAATTATTAATAATTATGCTTTTTCTTAAGGACCCATAATACCATACCTTTGAATCATTACTTATTAGGGTTTCACAGTGCGTAGCTTGTGTGAAACACTATTGTTTTTGTTATACGCCCACATTGAAATGTGGACGTATATTGCCGTCGCCCCTGTCCATCTGTCGGTCCGTCCGTCCGCCCATCGTCCACAATTTCTTGTGAACGCTCTAACGGCAAAAGTTATCATCCAATTGTTTTAAAATTGATATATGTTGTTTACATTAGTGAGATGAAGAAGCCTATTTAATTTGGATAATTTCCGTTTATTATGTCTAGAGTTATGGCCCTTGTTTCACTTTGTTGAACCTTGTGAACGCTCTAATGCCAAAAGTTTACATCCGATCTTTGTGAAATTTATATGCAATATTTAAGTTAGTGAAACGAAAAAGCCTATTGAATTTCAGCAATTTACAATAATTACTTCTAGAGTTATTGCCCTTGTTTCATTTTGTTAAACCTTGTTAATGCTCGATTGATGAAAGTTATCATCCAATATGTATGAAATTTATATGCATTATTTAAATTAGTAAATAATTGATCCTTGTGAACGCTCTAACATCAAAAGTTATCATTTGATCTTTCTGAAAATTATATGCATTATTTAAATTAGTGAGACAAAGAAACCTTTTGAATTTCAACAATTTCTGTTTATTACGTCTAGAATTATGGCCCTTGTTTCACATTATTATATGCATTATTTAAATTAGTGAAATGAAGAAGCCTATTGAATATTAGCAATTTCTGTTTACTACATCTAGAGTTATGGCCCTTGTTTCACTTTACTGCACCTTGTGAACGCTGTTAACGCCAAAAGTTATCACCCAATCTTTGTGAAATTTATATGCATGATTTAAATTAGTGAAACGAGGAAGTCTATTGAATTTCAGCAATTTCCGTTTATTACGTTTAGAGTTATGGCCCGTCTTTCACTTTATTCAACCTTGGAACGCTCCAACGCCAAAAGTTATCACCCAATCTTTGTGAAATTTATATGCACCTTGTGAACACTCTAACTTCAAAAGTTATCAATTGATCTTTCTGAAAATTATATGCATTATTTAAATTAGTGAGACGAAGAAGCGTATTGAATTTCAGCAATTTCCGTTTATTACGTCTAGAGTTATGGCCCTTGTTTCACTTTATTGAACCTTGTGAACACTCCAACGCCAAAAGTTATCACCCAATCTTTGTGAAATTTATATGCATTATTTAGATTACTGAAACGAAGAAGCCTATGGAATTTCAGCAAATTCCGTTTATTCGTCTAGAGTTATGACCCTTGTTTTACTTTAATTGAACCTTGTGAACGCTCCAACGCCAAAAGTTATCACCCAATCTTTGTGAAATTTATATGCATTATTTAGATTACTGAAACGAAGAAGCCTATGGAATTTCAGCAATTTCCGTTTATTATGTCTAGAGTTATGGCACTTGTTTCACTTTACTTATCCTTGTGAACACTCTAATGCCAAAAGTTATCACCCGATCTTTGTGAAATTTATATGCATGATTTAAATTAGTGAAACGAAAAAGCCTATTGAATTTCAGCAATTTATAATATTTACTTCTAGAGTTTTTGCCCTTGTTTCACTTTTTTAAACCTTGTTAATGCTCGATTTATGAAAGTTATCATCATTTATATGCATCATTTAAATTTGTGAAACAGGTCTATTGAATTTCAGCAATTTAGTCAATAATTTCTAGAGTTATGTTGATTGTGAACGTTTAAATGACAAAAGTGATCATTTAGCTCTAGAGGCTAAAGTTAATATCTGATTGACTTTAAATTTATACACAGTGTTTAAGGTCATGAGACGAAAAAGTCTATTCATTTTCAGCGATTTTCGATAATTACTGCAAGAGTTATGGCCCTTGATCACTTCACAAAATCTTGTGGACGCTCTAGAGGCCAAAGTTAATATCCGATTGACTTTAAATTTATACACAGTGTTTAAGGTCATTGGACGAAGAAGCCTATTGATTTTCAACAATTTCAGATAATTACTGTCAGAGTTATGGCCCTTGATCACTTTGAAAAATCTTGTGGACGCTCTAGAGGCTAAAGTTAATATCCGATTGACAGTGTTTTATACACAGTGTTTAAGGTCATGAGACGAAGAAGTCGATTCATTTTCAGCGATTTCTGATAATTACTGCCAGAGTTATGGCGCTTGATCACTTCAAAAAATCTTGTGGACGCTGTAGAGGCCAAAGTTAATATCCGATTGACTTTAAATTTATACACAGTGCTTAAGGTCATGAGACGAAGAAGCCTATTGGTTTTCAGCAATTTACGATAATTACAGCCAGAGTTATGGCCCTTCATCACTTTGGAAAATCTTGTGGACGCTCTAGAGGCTAAAGTTAATATCCGATTGACTTTAAATTGATACACAGTGTTTAAGGTCATGAGACGAAGCAGTCTATTCATTTTCAGTGATTTTAGATAATTACTGCCAGAGGTATGGCCCTTGATCACTTCAAAAAATCTTGTGGATGATCTAGAGGCTAAAGTTAATATCTGATTGACTTTAAATTTATATATCGTGTTTAAGGTCATGAGATGAAGAATCCTATTGATTTTCAAAGATTTCAGATAATTACTGCCAAAGTTATGGCCCTTGATCACTTTGAAAAATCTTGATTAAGATCTTGATACGAACAAGTAAATTTTTGACTTCAGATTGAAACACAGAGCTTAAGATCTTGATACGAACAAGTTAATTTTTAAGACTTGAACAGCTAAATCCATGATATGAAAAGTTTTGTATACTAACCGTAATTTTGATAATCGGCCGGTAAAAAAACCAAAACAAGCTTGCTGACCATTCATAAAATTAACAGCCACGCGGCAATCGAAGGAAGACCATCTCACCATGGATTGTGCATCTATCACGCGCCTTCGAAGCTTTGTATGAATTCGAGGTGTACCGGTAGATATTAAAATAATAATTGGATCATAATTTAATGGTTTCTCTGACCAGTTGTTAGTTAAATTTAAATCTTAGTTGAATATAATCCTCGGATAGAACACTGAATACACAGAGAAACAGTCATTAATAATATATTATGATTCTCCAATGCTGTATTCTCAATGACACATGATATCAGTTGGAATTAGGTCAGTAAACCAGCATACTAGTTTTAGTTTAAAATAGCGTTTACCGTTATGATTTTTTATTGTCCCACGCCTATGGAAGAAAGCAAGGGACTATTAAAATGGGTTCGTCCGTCTGTCTGTCTGTCCATTACACTTTTTGGGACACAATAACTCTCTTTCTAATTGAGGTAGAATGTTCAAACTTGGTGTAGGTGTTTATTAGGTCAATACCTGGATGGAGTTTAAAGATGAGCATTTTCCGCTTAGGGTAAGCGGAGATAAGCAATTTGATTGGTTGATGCTTTGGGACACGATAACTTTAGTTCTAATTAAGTGAGAGTGATGAAACTTGGTGTATAGTTTCATTACATCAATACCTTGACTAAGTTCGATAATGAGCATTTTCTGCTCAGGGTAAGCAGAGCGATAAGCAATTTGATTGGCCAAGATTTTGGAATACAATAACTCTCCTTCTAATTGAGCTAGAATGTTCAAACGTGGTGTAGGTGTTTATTGGGTCAGTGCCTTGATGGAGTTTGGAGATGAGCATTTTCTGTTTAGGTTGAGCAGAGATAAGTAATTTGATTGATTGATGCTTTGGGACACAATAACTTTAGTTCTAATTAAGTGAGAGTGAGGACACAATAACTTTCCTTCTAATTGAGCTACAACGTTCAAACTTGGTGTAGGTGTTTATTAGGTCAATGCCTTTATGGAGTTCGAGGATGAGCATTTTCTGCTTAGGGTAAGCAGGGATAAGCAATTTGATTGGTTGATGCTTTGGGACACAATAACTTTAGCTCTAATTCAGAGAGAGTGAGGACACTTGGTGTATAGTTTTATTACATCAATACCTTGACTAAGTTCGATAGTGAACATTTTCTGCTGAGGGTAAGCAGAGCGATAAGCAATTTGATTGGTCAAGACTTTGGAACACAATAACTCTCCTTCTAATTGAAGGCATTCATTAGATAAATCCCTTGACGGAGTTCGATGATGAATATAGATTCATTATATCATTACCTTAACTAAGTTCGATTGTGCGAATTTTCTGCCTGGGCTAAGGAGCTATAAGCAATTTGATTGGTCACGACTTTGGAACATAAAAACTCTGCTTTTAATTGAGGTAAAATGTTTAAACTTGATGTAGATGTTCATTAAGTGAATGTCTTGACTGATTTCAATGATTAACATTTCAAGCTAAAGCTAAGCAGAGCTAATCAATTTCATTGGTCGATGCTTTGGGACAAGATAATCTTGATTCTATCTGATAGAGAGTGATGAAACTTAGTGTGTAGTTTGATTGCTCGATTAATAAATGTTTCATCTATTTATTTTGGGATTTCGGCGGGGGACATCAGCCTCACTGTTGGCTTGTTTTATACACATGCTGACAGAGGCTTATTTTTTTTAAAAATTATTGTCGTTATTGTCATTGACAACTATATGGCACAGTCGTATGGAATTTAACTTTAAAGCCATTTCAATTATGGTTGTCATGTGATCACTGTGCCGTGTGTCTATCATGGACGAATGAATAAAAACATTTGCAAGTTATATGATAGAAAAAAAACCTACAAATTGTGTTAGAAGAAATACCACGGTGCCGTATCAGCTTATATCCATCAAAATTTTTATCCGATTTTGTTCAAACTTGAAATGTAAGTTTATAACACAAAGATCTCGGTTCCTTTCGATATTCGTGCATATCGGACTGTAACTTCCTGAATTATGGCCCCTGATTGTACGTAAAATCGCGTTTTTAGCTTGTGGACCCTATAGAGGTCATAATTTTTATCCGATTTAAAAAAACATATTATTATATCACCGTTACACCCTAAGGACGGCTAATTTCGAATTTCGTGACAATCAGCCCAAAACTGACAGACAAAATGGCCACCCTTCATTCTCAAATAGCGTAAAAATATGGTATATCAAGGTTGTGGACCCTATAGAGGTCACAATTTTAATCCTATTTTGACGAAACTTGAAATGTAAGTTTATAACCCAAAGATCTCGGTTCCTTTCGATATTCGTGCATATCGGAACCTAACTTCCTGAATTATGGCCCCTGATTGTACGAAAAATCGCGTTGTTAGCTTGTGAACCCTATAGAGGTCATAATTTTTATCCGATTTAAAAAAACGTATTATTATATCATCGTTACACCCTAAGGACGACTTGAGTTCGAATTTTGTGAAAAACGGCCCAAAACTGACAGACGAAATGGCCGCCCCTCGTACTCAAGTAGCGTAAAAATAGGGTATATCAAGGTTGTGAACACTATAGAGGTCACAATTTTTATCCGATTTTGTTGAAACTTGAAATGTAAGATTATAACCCAAAGATCTCGGTTCCTTTCGATAAGCGCGCATATAGGACCGTAACTTCCCGAATTATGGCCCCTGATTGTACGAAAAATCGCGTTTTTAGCTTGTGGACCCTATAGAGGTCATAATGTTTATCCGATTTTAAAAAATGTATTATATCACCGTTACACCCTAAGGACGGCTGAGTTCGTATTTCGTGAAAATCGGCCCAAAACTGACAGACAAAATGGCCGCCCCTCGTTCTCAAATAGCGTAAAAATATGGTATATCAAGGTTGTGGACCCTATAGAGGTCACAATTTTTATCCGATTTTGTTGAAACTTGAAATGTAAGTTTATAACCCAAAGATCTCGGTTCCTTTCGATATTTGCGCATATCAAATTGTAATTTCCTGAATTATGTTCCTTGATTGTAGGAAAAATCACTTTCTTTTTAGCTTGTTCTCTATCCATCTCTCGAAAATGTGGACGTATCCTGCCTGGCAGCCGCTGGTTGTTAAGGGAATGGAAGCTTAAAATTTTAAAACCCAGTTCCTACCCGGACCTCATTTGACCCAATTCTGGCCGGTTTGTTTCAAAATGGATTAAGAACCCTGGTTGAGCCATTAACTATTTTCTTAAATTTTTTACAAGTCTAGCACATGAAAATATGCTCAATATTTTTGTCGCATTCGGAAAGAATAAAATGAAATGGGGTTTAATGTTGTTCTGATCCGATTGGGCTAATGAAGACCGGCATGCTCCATACAGTGTGCTTTGAGAGAAATTTTGCCTGGACAACGGCACTATATAGCCTACTCTTATATCAAATTCCAACTGCCAAGAGATCTTTTACATGCATGCCAATGTATACACAAGACCTTGGTTTTTCGAAACATCTGAATGACTAGATAGCTGTCCTTGTCAGGTCCTCCGTTCTGCACCACTGATAAGGGGAAACCATGTCGGAAAATCCCGATAAACTTTCTTGGCCAATACGAGGATCGAACACCTGACCTCCAGGGTGGCGAGCCAGCATCATACCAACTTAGCCACCGTTGTCGAATTCGAGAGACATGAGATGTTCAGAGCAAATCATGTTATGATTATTTTTTTATGCCCACATTGAAATGTGGTTGTATATTGCCGGCGGTCCAGCGTCCACAAGCAAAATTAATATCTGATTAACTTTAAATTTATACACAGTGTTTAAGGTCTTGAGATGAAGAAGCCTATTGATTTTCAGCGATTTCCGATAATGACTGCCAGAGTTATGGCCCTTGATCACTTCAAAAAATCTTGTGGACGCTCTAGAGGCTAAAGTTAATATCCGATTGACTTTAAATTTATACACAGTGTTTAAGGTCATGAGACGCAGAAGCCTATTGATTGTCAGCAATTTCCGATAATTACTGCATGAGTTATGGCCCTTAATCACTTTTAAAAAAACTTATGAATTCTCTATTGCCTAAAGTTAATATCCGATTGACGTTAAATTTATATACAGTGTTTAAGGTCATGAGAGGAAGAAACCTATTGATTTTCAACGATTTCTGATAATTACTGCCAAAGTTATAGCCCTTGATCACTTTGAAAAATCTTGTGACGCTCTAGATTGACTTAAGATTGATACAGAGATGAACAAGTATATTGATTTTCAATGAATTTTGATAACTTCAACAGCTAAATCCATCAAAATAATATGTTTCGTATACTAAACGTTAGCATGGGGCAGAACTTTATAAATACCAAACAAATTCTAATAATGATTTTCTGATAATTACTTAATGAGTTGTTACTCTTAACAGATTTTAGTGTATTATAAATGTTTCATTACCGAAAAAAGTAAAAATATGCGACAATTCTTGTTGACTGCCTAGACAATTGAGCTGCCGTGGGCGTATGTTTTGTTGCCTGGCAACCTATCTTTTGAACTGTAGGTATATTAAGTCATCTATACGATCATTTCTTTCAACAATTCTGACGTTATTCACAAACTGTCACTCATTCAATTTTGTAAACATCTTTATATGAAATATAGCGAGAGCAATAAACAATTGTGCATGCTAGTAGTTTCGCTGTATACTCTGTGTTCTTTGTGTTTCCTTTGAAACCTCGGTCTCCCAGAGTGCCTTAAAGTCCCTGCAAACAGTTTTCGAGGCCTGTTCACTCCATTGGCTAAGTTCCTGTACTGGTAATCGGATCTAGGAAAGTACGGTATTGAGATTTGCCCAGATGTTCGTCTCTCCAGAAACTGGTCGATATGGTGAAATACACCCTGAACTTTTTCTCATCACCGGAATTCCTAGCTCATTATATGCACTTTCGAAAGACTTTATCGTTTGTTTGTAACCACCACCCAACTTTTTGTGGAAACAAGTCTGTCAGACGTTGTTATCAAGAAAATACTGCGTTTAGGTGATCATACCAACAATTGACTACACCGAGAAGGAGATGCAGTTCCATCACCTTTCAGACGAGACGCTGGTGATTGACTTCATTCCGGTGATGAAACTGCGTCTCCTCAGCGTAGCCAACCACCGGTTAGATCACCCAGATGCAGAATAGTGCACGCTGCACGTCAAAGACTGGGCTGATGCATTGAGCCTTTGTTATTCTGAAATGTATGGTGGGCCTTTCAGTGTAGTCCAAAGTAGGAAGCTATTAAACAGTACTGAAGCATTCGAATTACTGATGGAAGCAGGTGGCTTTGTTGACATTCATGCTATATTTGACCCTATCAACCAGTTTCTGGAGAGGCGAACGCCTGAACCAGATATCAAGACGGGACTTTCCTAGAGCAGTAAACAGGCCACCGAGTCTGTTCACAGGAACCTAAAGTACGCAGCGAAACTACTAGCATGTACAAAAATAATTGTTTATTCCTCTCGTCATATTTGATATCAAAATGTTTACGAAATTGAATAACTCTTTGCAAATGACGTCAGAATTGTTGAAAGAAATAAATGTATAAATGACTTAATATAACTACAGTTGAAAAAAAAAAAATATCATTTAACATGTTTTTCTCTGAACGCGTCATGTCTCCCGAATGCGACAAAATTTTAAAATATTTTTGATACCTAATGGGAGTACTCGACTAGATAATGTTCAATAGATTATGGTTTTCCCTTGTCAGTGTTGCGGGACGGATGGCCTGACATGGACAGCTGTCTAGTCGTTTAGATGGGAAAAAAAAAATGAGGTCCTGTGTACACATTGGCGTGCATATAAAAGATCCCATGGTATTTGGAATTCAATATAAGAGTAGGCCATAGTGCTGCTGTCCAGGCAAAATTTCCCTCATAGCACACGGTGTAATGTATGCCCATTTTCATTCTCCCAGCTGGAGCAGAACATATACATTAGGACGGTAAACCCCCATTTCATTTCATTTCATTTATTTCTGTTACCCTTGATCAGTTTTTAGTGTCTTGTAAGTGCTCGCATTTCGTATATGCCTAACAACTTTTTTTTTTCAGCTACGTTTACTTATTGAGTTAGTATGGCCCTTGTGTCTCTTTCTCATCTTGGTGGCAGTAAAAACACGACCTGATCTACAGGTGTTTAAACCAGAATGTAAGTACACATATATATTATATTTTCTTTTCAAATTTAGTAAAAATGTAAAAATTGACATTGTTAGTAAAACTGAAGATCTAAGCGATATATTGTTGGTCTTTGCTGAAATCTAAAACTGAGATGCTCTTGCATAAGCATATGAGTCAAAGGGGGGAGACTCGGAGAGAGAGCTGCAGCCCACTGGGGGTCGAGCAGAACAATTTTTTTCGGGTGATCATCAAATTTTTCGGACACAGGCAAAATGATGAAAACAAGCCAACAGTGAGGCTGATGTCCCCCGCCAAAATCCCCAAATAAATAGATGACACATTATTTAATCGCACATTTATTTTTTTCAAAAGTATCGAACAATCAAACCATACACTAAGTTTCATCACTCTCTATCAGATTATCTTGTCCCAAAGTATCGACAAATGAAATTGATTAGCTTTGCTTAGCTTTAGCTCAAAATTTTAATCATTGAACTCAGTCAAGACATTCACCTAATGAACATCTACATCAAATTTAAACATTCTACCCCAATTAAAAGCAGAGTTGTTATGTTCCAAACTCTTGACCAATCAAATTGCTTATCGCTCCTTAGCCTAAGCAGAAAATTCTCACCATCGAACTTAGTCATGGTAATGATATAACGAATCTTTATTCAGAGTTTCATCGCTCTCTCTTCATTAGAACTAAAGTTATCGTGTTCCAAAGCATCAACCAACCAAATTGCTTATCTCTGCTTACCCTAAGCAGAAAATGCTCATCTTCGAACTCGATCAAGGCATTGACCTAATAAACACCTGCACCTAGTTTGAACATTCTAGCATAATTAGAAGGAGGGTTATTGTGTTCCAAAGTCTCGGCCAATCAAATTGCTTATTGCTCTGCTTACACTGAGCAGAAAATGCTCATTATCGAACTTAGTCAAGGTATTGATGTAATGAAACTATATACCAAGTTTCATCACTCTCACTTAATTAGAACTAAAGTTATCGTGTCACAAAGTATCAACCAATCAAATTGCTTATCTCTGCTTACCCTAAGCAGAAAATGCTCACCTTCGAACTCCATCAAGGCATTCACCTAATAGATACCTACACCAAGTTTGAACATTCTAGCTCAATTAAAAAGAGAGTTATTGTGTCCCAAAAAGTGTGACAGACAGACAGGAGGATGGACAGTCGGACGGACCCATTTTAATAGTCCCCTGCTTTCTTCGAAAGGTGGGGGGACAAAAAATAGAATTTTAATGGATATAAAAGGAAAAATATGAAAATTATTCCATCCTGCAAAACGAAGTGTTCGAAATCGGGACTTCTACTGATCATTGAGCGAGATAGTGCAATTACCAACCGGAGTTCAGACTTTTAGAAAATCATACAATTCTTATTTTCATTCAGGGTGTCTAGTTCTCAAACTCAAACTGCACATATATATACATATAATATATACAATAATTATTAATTAGGTGTGATGATGAAAAATACACTATGAGATCAGTCTCAAAATATCATCGCAAAAATATTCATTTACCTTGATTCACTCACTCCGTTCGTTTGACACTTTCCTCTCTGGTCGGATGAACTAATGATTTGTCGTCAGGCGATATCTGGTAACCTCTATTATCTTGACGATCAGTGCCTGAAATACTGCCAGACTGCATTTTGAGGGCTTCGTTGAGGTTTGTAAGTCCATTTGTTTGACACTTTCCTCTCTGGTCGGATAAACTAGTGAGCAGGTGACAGGCGGTATCTGGTCAACTCTATTTATCTCGACAATCGGTGCTGTCTATTTTTAAAAATTTCTGGGAGAGGTCCCCCACACCCTCTGTAAGGGCTCACTACTTTTGCTATCATGAGGGGTGTTCGTCGAAGTTTGCAAGTCCATTCGTTTGACACTTTCCACTCAGGTCGGATAAACTAGTGCTCAGACGACAGGCAGAATCTGGTCAGATCTGTTTAGCGTGTCGATCAGTGCCTGAAATACTACCAGACTGCATTTCCAGCAGTCAATTTTTTTTAAATTTCTGGGAAAGGCCCCCCATACCCCTAGTTGAAGCTCGCGCCTTTTCCCTCTTCAGATATACATATATTTAATTGGTGCGTTTGGGCGTCACATGTAACTGGAAATGTTTCTTCTGTTAGGTTCTATAGTGACTTTTTTCGTAGTCATTTGCATATTTTAGTATTATGCCCCCAAAATCAAATATCCCCTACTTTTTTTGAATAGTATATATGGTATATCAAGGTTGTGGACGCTCTAGAGAACACAATTTTGACGAAACTTGAAATACATATTTATAATCCAAAGATCTTGGTTCCTTTAGATATTCACGCATATCGGGTCGTAACTTCCTGAATTATGGCCCTTGATTGTACGCAAAATCACGTTTTTAGCTTGTGGTCTCTCTAGAGGTCATAATTTTATCTGATATAAAAATAACATTTGAATACATCACCTATATTACACCCTTATGATGGCTGAGTTTGAATTACGTGAAAATCGGACCAAAACTCCCAGACAAAATGGCCGCCCCTCATATGCAAATATTGTAAATATATGGTATATCAAGGTTGTTGACACTCTAGGGGACACAATTTTGATACGACTTTGATGAAACTTGAAATACATGTTTATGTCCCAAATATCGCAGTCCATTTCGATATTCACGCATTTTAGACTACAACTTCCTGGATTATCTTGCAAAATGTGGGCGTATCTTGCATGGCAACCGCTTTTTTTTTTTTATTAGCAGTTGTCATTATGTTCATCGTGTATTTAATGTTTTCTTTGTATTTGTATGCTGCCTCTAATGGGATGTTTAGATACAATAAAATCTTATCTTATCAATTTATACACTACAAGCAGATATCATCATGTCATTCATTTTTATATGCCCACATGAAAATTTGGTTGTATATTACTGTTGCATGTGTGCATCCATACGTACATCAATCGTCCAAAATTTCTTGTGAGTACTCTACAGACTACATTTATTATCTGATCATTTTGAAATTTATATATGTTGTTTATATTAGTGATATGAAGAAGCTTTTTTAATTTCAACAATTTCCGTTAATTACTTCTAGAGTTATGGTCAACGCCGGATTAACCAGGGGGCATCATGGGGCCCAGGGCCCCCCACATTAGAGGGCCCCCCACAAAAATCTCAGTTGCGCGCCTCGAGCATGGTCGGACCGAGGACTCCAACGGCCGGTGACCTAGTCACGGGGCCCCTCCGATGCACCGTGATGTTTTCTGAGTGGATCGCCGGAATTCAATGCTAGTTACAGGTGAATTGTCAAATTCTAATGAGGGTACTGCCTTGTACGTGGTTGAATTTCTGCTCTCATTTTGTTTCAATAGTTTCTTCAAATTATATGTACACAGCTAGAACCCATGTGTAACCGTAGCACAGGGAGTCTGTGCTCAGATGTCACGACACAGACTCCCTGTGTCAAGCAGCCTGTGTTGAGTATATGTCAGCACTGATTCCCAGTGTTGAGCCGAGTCGAGCGCTACAAAGGGAATAATTTTCCGTCTGAACACTTAGTCCACGCTCTACACATGGACTGTCTCGAAACATGGTCGGTGTGCAGCCGTTACACAGGACCCGTTACACAGGATCTTCTATCGTACCGAATGTCGGCTAACTCGAATTATCGTATAACTCGATCAAATTACCTGTCCCCATCATTTCGAGTAGCGTGAATTTTGCCTCAGATTGACGTACGTTGTTGTTGTTGTTGATATTTGTTGTGGGTATAAGCTGAATTTGATGAGATGCACATCATGATCACACGAAATATTCAGATTTCTTGATTACAGTGTTAGACGTTCGTCAAAAATCGAGTCCGGCTTGGTCATAACGCTACGGCCTCCATTCATCAAATCATCGTGGGGGATATAATACGATTCCGAATCAAGTGACCCCGTTATTTATCACTGAGCGACTTCAAAATTAGGTTTGATGTAGCTCTGCTCACTTACAGTGGCAGATTTAACGGGCTCAATGGACTCCAGCCCCCTCCTCTAGAAATGCCATCACTTCATAGCACTCGCATGGATTGGTCCACTGAAATAACGCCAGAATATGCTAATTTTGTGACAGAATTTTATTTTTTTCTGGGGGAGGTACTTCTAAAAGGCTCTGACACAAGTGCATGAAATGCCAGGAAATCACGTTTCCGGCCTCCAATTTCTGAAAATTTCCTGGGGTGAGAACCCCCCCCCTCCCCCCGATCCCCCTTGCGAGGCTTGGCGCCTTTTCGCTGCGCGGTGGCCGGCTTTGGCGGCCACAGCTCCGCGGTCGGTAATGAGGGGACCCCACGTGTTCCAGGCCCCAGGGCCCACACCATGGTTAATCCGGCGTTGGTTATGGTCCTTGTGAACGCTCTAAATACTCAACTTATCATTTGATCTGTATTAAATTTACATGCGTTATTTAAATTAGTAAAAAGAAGAATAGTTGAATTTCAGCAATTTCCATTAATATGGCCCTTGTGTCACTTTGTTATCACCGCCTTTCGAAGTAAGCAGGGGACTATTAAAATGGGTTTGTCCCGTCTGTCCGTCCGTCCGTTCGTCCGTCCGTTACACTTTTTGGGAGACAAAAACTCTATTTCTAACTGAGCTAGAATGTTCAAACTTGGTGTGGGTGTTTATTCGGTCTATTTGGGACACAATAACTTTAGTTCTAATTAAGTGAGAGTGATTAAACTTGGTGTATAAATTCATTATATCAATATCTTGACCAAGTTCAATAATGAGCATTTTCTGCTCAGGGTAAGCAATTTGATTGGTCGAGACTTTGGGACACAATAACTCTCCTTCTAATTGGTGTAGGTGTTTATTAGGTCAATGCCTTGATGGAGTTTGAAGATGAGCATTTTCTGCTTAGGGTAAGCAGAGATAAGCAATTTGATTTGTTGATGCTTTGGGATCGATAACTTTAGTTCTAATTAAGGTGACATAAAAAAATTAGTTGGTGATCGTCCCCGCACGCCCAGAAA